CCCCAAATCAGAGCTTGTGAGGGCTAGGGCTGGCCCGACCCACCCCATGGACTTGTGTTTGGTTCCTCCTAGGGTGACCTTGGGCCTCTGGGCACCCCTGGGGAGCAGGGCCTGATTGGGCAGCGGGTAAGTGAAAGCAAATTTATTCTGCCTGGAAAGCCACCCCTGGGGTGTTTGGGTGGGGAAGGGCTTCCCTCAACCTCCCTGAGCCTGTTTCCTCACATGGAAATAGACCGCGACTCTCCACAGCCTCGCTCAGTCTCTCTTCGTGGGTCAGCATTTCCAGTGTAGAGGTGCTCTTCAGAGAAAAGCATTCTGTGGTCAGCACATTTGGAACTCACTGCACGCTCGGTGTTCCCTCTTACACATTAGCAGCAGCATTTTCAAGGCTCTGAGAAGACCTGCAACCAAGAAATTGGTTTCTTTTGGAGTCTCTCGGGGCCTGGGTATCATTCCCAAACTTGCTGGCAAGAAACTCTGAGGGCTGGCTTCACTTTCCTTTTCTGAGAAATGGGATTCTGCCAAGGAGTTCCATGACGGCTCACTCCAATTCCAGGAATAGTATCTCCTACGGCTACCATTTGTGGGTGCTTATACTGTGTCTTGGAGGAACCCTTAAAGGATGAGGGAGCAGCCCCATTTTCAGATGAGAAAACAGATGCCTATGAGGGCTGAACAGTTTACTTGTGGTCAAACTGCCAGTGACTAGGAGCCCAGTGGGGTCTTTGAGGTCTGCCCGACGTCAAAGCCTTTCTAACCACTAGGCAGCTCTGCCTCCCAGTCTGACCAGGATGGCTCTGTGACCAGCAATTTCTAACTGGAGACCTCTTGCAGCCCCCACCCCAGCCTACCCTGCAGACAGCAAGCTGTGCTTGGGGGCCTGCCTCTCCTTTTTGGGAACTGAGTGGGTGCCTCAACCCTCTGGATCATTCACAAATTCAGCCCCCCACTGTGTGCGTGCCAGGGCCCCATTGCCCGGAGATCAGCGGTTGGGGGGCCCTGCACCAAGGAGGGGAGGAAGTAAAAGCACATGGGGCCCCCTCCCCAACAATGTCTCCTCATCTTTTCCCACCACGCTTTCCAGGGAGAGCCAGGCCTCGAGGGTGACAGTGGTCCTGCGGGGCCCGACGGGCTGAAGGTAAGTGTCCTTCTGGTGCAGGGTTGGGGAGGAGGGGTGTTCTGGGACTGCGTCTACCTGTCCCCCACTGCTCCTCCATCCAATACCTAAGTTTTCTCCCAGAAGCACCATGTTCCCGTAAAGCTCTGAGAGCAGACCTCCGGCTGTTCCCATTGAGAGTGGGTGAGGGTGAGCCCTGTCCAGCACCTGCCCCCACCCTGCCCACTGACCTGACCCTACTCAGGGTGGGGTTTGAGGACCATCTCCACCGTCCACTCCTCCCCACTTTCCTTCTCCTCAAAACTGCAGCTCCTCTTGACTAAGGGCGGTACCTGAACATCTGCTCTATGCCAGGCCCAGAGCCAGCAGCTTTGATATCAGTTAACTCCCAAACATCCTAAAAGATCAGGAAAATAATCACTGCCCATGACCTGTAGGCCACTAGTCACACATGCACCAGGTACGATGCTAAGTCCTTTATATGGATCACCTTGATCAACGCTATGGGGTGAGTTCTGTATTTAGATAAACTGAGACTCAGAGAGGTTAAGTGACTTGCCCAAGGACACACAGCTAACAATTAGCACACCCAAGACACAATCCTTGGCTTGCTTTCTGTACCATGTACCCATCCTAAAGATGAAGAGACTGAGGCTCAGAGGGAGGCAGAGGTGTATTCATCCAGCGACTATAGTTATGAGTAGAGGATCCAAAATTCAAACCCAGGGCTCACTGGCATCAAAGCCTATGGGCCTAACTTAGACCTGCCATGTCAGCTGTCAGCCATAGATGCTAGGACTGTAAGGAGGTGCTGGAGCTCCCCTGGACCCCAGGGCAGGTGAACACTGCTCTCTGGTACCAGCCCTACTTCCAGCTCAGGCCTGTCCCTGGCCTCCATCCCTGACCCAACAGTGGACTTTCCCCAGAGCTGACCTGTAACACTGTGTGAGGCAGCTCCTCAGCCCTGGATCCCACATGCCATATCCCGGGATTCCCTCTGTCATCCACTTACTCTCCATGTGACCTCAGATGAGCACCCCTCTTCTCTGGGCCTGAATTCCCCCATTCCTAGACCTCCACCCTCACTGCCCTATCCCCACATGCAGGGCCCGGGATAGGGCCTCTCACTGAAAACCAGCTCAGCCACCTGCTCAGGCTGCCTGCCTCTGAGACCTAGGAGAGCAGGTGACCAGGGATGACAGGCCAGAAGGGGAATCCTGGAGCCAGGGGTGTCTGCAAGAAAGTCATCAGGGCCAGTCCCCTGTCTCCATGCCAGGTCCAGCTTGGGACCTGAGACTCTTGGTGGGAAGAAACCTCAGAAAGCAGCAGCCTACCTATCTCTTTCCTGGTGCCCAGATCTGCTCTGTGCTAACTTGGAGTCTCTCCCCCACATCTGTGTCACCTCTGGACCCCTCTCCATGAGAAGTTCTCCCCGGCTGAGCTAGACACTGCCCCAGCAACCCCAACACCAGCCCCCTGCAGCCAGAGACCAGGCCCCAGCAGGACCGGCCTGCAGTGCATGCTCTCCGTGGTCCTGTTCCCACGCTCCGGCTTCGCGTCCTCTGAACACACTCTCTCTCCTGGACACACACCAGTTTATCTGTGTCCCTCGTAAAATGTGGCTCCAGGAAACAAAACTGGCAAAGACACTGCTCTTTCAAGCCTGCTCCCCCACCCACCCTTCCTCACACCCATGACTTCATACCCTCTCCCGAGGGCCTCTCTGACAGTCACAGCTGAGCCACCTTCAGACTGGCCATAGGTCCCCCCAAGCCTGCCAGCCCCTATGGAGGCAGCCTTCTGATGGGCACTGCCCTGTCCCTCTGCAGCCACTGCCTACGCTGTGCCCCTCGCGCCTGCTCTGCTCACGGGGCCAAGGGCAACAGCCCAGGCCCCCTTCTGGCACAGCCCGCCTGGCAGACAAGGCCGGGACATGGCCAGCGCTATGTCAGGCGCTAGCTGCCATCCGCTCGCCGGAGGGAGTGTTCTGCAGCCAGTGAGAACAAGAACCACACAGAGCAGAGAGCAAGAGAAACACGTGCCCACAGCGGAGTGAGACCTTAACCAAAAAACGATGGAACGGTGCGGTCTGATTGGATTACGCCTTTAAAGCTTATTTTATTGCTAACTGGCTCTGTAATCTTGGAACCATTGTCTCGCTGCTCTGAGACTGGTACATAGCAATCAAAACCGCTACCTCTTATTATTAATGTTGTCAACTGTTTGTGTGTGAGCAAAGGTCGAAAATGTAACTCAGAAAAGTGGGAAGAGTTCTGAGAAGCAGAATTAGGTGAATTTTTTTCCTTCATAAAAATTTATTTCAGCTTTTTACGATTCCTGTCTTCCCCACGTGTCTACATTGGAGAGGGCTAGCCCCAGTCTCCTGAACCTGGCCCCTTCCTGTGAACTTCATGGGGTGGGCATGGTCAGGGTCCTCGCTTTCCTGAACTACCCCTCCCCAGCCCCAGGCCCAGGCAGAGACACTGGCAATCCCTAGCCAGCAGGGCCATGCCAGCCCAACCCGTTTGGCAGCTCAGGGAACGGTCAGGGAATGCAGAAGCTGGTCAGCTGTGGGCGTCTGAATGAGCCCTGAGGTTTGGACCCCCTGTTGGGCTTGATGACTAATTTTCTCTCTCTCTCTCTCTCTCTCTCTCTCTTTGTTCTTCCTCCCAGGGGGACAGGGGTGACCCAGGGCCTGATGGTGAGCGTGGTGAGAAGGGCCAGGAGGGACTGATGGGCGAGGACGGTCCCCCGGGGCTCCCTGGCATCACTGGCGTCCGGGTGAGTGTGCATGGCTGCATGCCAGCACTTAGGGCTCCTGGGGCATATGACACTTGTGCCTCTTTCAGGCAGTTCTGTGGGAGGCCTTTTGACAGCAGCCACCTAAGAAACTTCTGCTCTGGTCCTTCCTCCCTTGCCTAAACCTCCCATGGCTCCCCAGTACCGTCAGAGTAATATCACTCTCCTTAGCCTGGCTGCTGTTCCCTGCACAAACCCGGCCCCTGCTGACCACATCCTGCCTAACCCCCACATTCAGCCACACTGAATTTAACAAGGCAAATTCAGCAGTGGGGGCTCCGGCCCCGATTCTCTATCAGTAACTTGCTGTGTGACCTTTCATTTGCCCTTGACCTTGCCCTTGCCCTCTGTGGGATTCTTGGTATGATGAAGGATCTGGAAGGAATGTGCACTAAGATCACTTTGGGCCCCAACATTTCAGGGGCCCTTTTTTAGTGAGCTTTTGAGTATCATGACTGTGGAAAGGGCAAAGTCGTGTGGCAGAAATAGCCCTGGATCCAAAGTCCAAAGGTTGAGATCTGGCCCAAACACCCATTCTCTGCATGACCTTGAACAAATCACTGCCTCCCTCTGAGCCTTGATTTTCTCATTGATGAGGAGTCAATGAAACTTTGGATAGGAAAGCACTTTCTAAAAGGCAAGAGAAATATAAAAGATCGTCTTTATGAATTTGGAAAAGAAAATGACTGCAAGCTGCTGGTGGTGATGAGGGCGGTGGTGATGGTGGTGATGATGGTAGTAGTGATGGTGGTGGCAGTGGTGATGGTGGCCATGGTACTGGCAATGGTGACAATGGTGGTAGTGATGGTAGTGATAGTGGTGATGGTGGTGAAGGTGGTGGTGGTGTGAAGGTGGTGGTGGTGGTGATAGTGGTGGTGGTGGTGAAGGTGGTGGTGGTGAAGGTGGTGGTGGTGGTGGTGATAGTGGTGGTGGTGGTGAAGGTGGTGGTGGTGAAGGTGGTGGTGGTGGTGGTGAT